CTATCAGCATAGGCCGGTTTCAGGAAACGTTGCATTGGTTCAGATGAAGCACCCCATAATGGATGATTAACATTATTGCAGTGTCCAGAATAGGTTCGATATTTAGCCGATGGACATTTTGTGACCAAATTTACTGGACATATGCGACTTAGCGTTGTTTTACGAAGATCCATTATCGGTAATTCATCAAGAATATGTTCAGATTTAATATGAGAACTAAAATAATTGCATAGTTAATAAAAATCGTCTAATAATATTATAAAATGAAGTTCAATGATTATTAGTTAATTGTAAATATTTCAAATCAAGAATACAGTCTGAAAAAATATTCATATTATACTTAAAATTTTAAAATTAAATGATGCATACTTATATAACTTTTCGGTTGCAGCAACGGAAATTTGCGATGAATAGGAAAGTTTTTTGGAATAAGGGTCAATTTTGTTTATTGCATTCCACAATCTCTCTGCCGGTTCGCCATCAAATTCTATAATTTGAAATCAAATAACTTATGGATTATCACTGCATCCTATTATTATTTAAATATTTTATATCTAGATTATACAAAGTACATTATCAAAGTAATAAGTTATCGATATTGATAGTATGGTACTGGATAAAATAAGCTTTCTTATCAAATTTTTTTGCAGTTATTTATTCAAATTGAAATGTAGTTGTTTAATCTTCTATAAAGTATTATCAGTTCTGCAATTTAAAAGGATTTACTTTGTTTAATTCAATTTTATTAATTCTTTATTCTCGTATCTTTTCTTTATATTTTCTAAATTTGAAAGATTTTTAAATTAATTTTTCAACAATACATTACTGATATTATCAATATGCTAAAATTTAATTATTTGTTCCTCTGCTATTACAGTGGAAATAATTCATTGATTGCTTTGAATTCATTAATGAAGTGATCAAATCAATTAATTAAATTTGCGGAAATATTTCTGGCTAAAATTTACTCAAAATTACTTAAATAATATTTTACTTAAAAAATATTTTACTTGAAGATTTTTTATTTCACTTGAAAAAGATTGAGGAAAACTGATAATAAATGATTGTTATAAGAGGTTTTAGGCAAAAGGTAAAGTGTGATAATTTGTTAAATTATTATAATTTCATCGTTATCACATTTAACATATTTCAACATTTGATTCAATTCAACTAATCAACAATTAACTTCGAATTTTGATTTAAAAATGAGATAATTTTATTGTGCTCTCTAAAGTTTATACCATTTATGCTTTTGAAAATGTTAACTTCAGTTTGATTGAAAAGTATATCAATTTCATCTTTTGCTTCTCGTATAGCAGCAGTAATATTTTGATTACTGATTAATTTACTGATATCAGTGTAATGCTTTTGAACTTCGGTTGGATTTCGTTGAGTTTGTGTTTCGTCCTCATCTGAAATGAATGGGCGATATTTGTAAATCGGTTAGCAAATTTGAATTTAATCTTATTGTAAAAATTTAATTAGAAAATAATTTGTTAATGGAGAAAATTCTTTATATGTTGTAAGTTTTTGAAATCGAGAAAAATATGAAAAAATGAATGTTTTAGCATTTGTTTTTCTTTTTTTGACGAAAAAACAGAAATAATTTAAGTTTTGAATTTAAATGTTCGGCTTTATTAAATTTGATTTCTTTTTTTAATATATAATAAATCTGGGAAAAAATGATTAATGACATACGAGGAAAGGAAAGGAAAGTGTAAATAATGATTACGAAAAAATAAATTGTAGCATAAAAAGGAAATTCTGAATCTCGTAAAAAAAAAGGAAAAATAAATTAGAATGAAAAAGTGAAATTAATGAACTACTGAAACATCAGCAAAGACTGAATGTAAATTTAATAAAATTTTTAAACGCTTTGAAAAATTTGTAAAATTCATTTTTGAATTCAAGATAGATTATAATTTAAATTTATTACAAATTAGCTGTAACTTATTCTCAACTTGTTGTTGTATGTAAAGTTTGTATTAGCATGTTAAACCAAAAAAAAAAAAAAAATTATATTAGGAGTGTTAAAAAAAGTTTGTACTAGAAATGTTAGAAAAAAAAGGATGTTGAAAAAAATATTGACGTATTGTTCAAGTAAAGTTTGAAGTGTATTGGGATGTTAAACCTATCCAAATCATATTGAAATATTTGTGGTATTAACTTTTAATTTTACATCAAATACCACCAAATATTATTTTCCTAAATTTTTCACCGTACTAGAAAAAGCTTTGATAATGTTTAATTTTTTTTTAAATCTAACCAGCTAATCAGTCTAGTTACCATTAAAATTATCAAATTACCTGTTTGATTCTGGCTGAAAAATAGGATGGGAAGAAAAAATCCTCATAGCTTACATGAAATTTTCAGAATTACTGATAATATGTTATGCTATTTGATAATAATCATGCCGCAAATGAAATGATAGAATCAAGTCTTAAATACCAACATGTACCGAAATAAATATATACTTAAAATGCAGATATATTATTTGATTTTTTAAGCATGTATATTATAGTAAAATTAATTTTAGGATTTGCTAAAAATTACCGACATGTAATAATAATTTTAAAATAAATGAAAAAATTTTACATTAAACAATTTTTCTTTTTTCGTTTTTTCTTTTTTTTCATAAATTTATTACTGATATTTTTGACAATATTGTTGGTGATCAGCTGGAAAAAAAAATCTATTAGAAAGAATTGTATGTGCCTTCTTTCTTTGACCTACTTGATTTTTAAAAATTTTAAAAAATTATTTCAAAACGAAAAATACTCAAGAAAAAACTCTTACTGATGGCATTTGATACAAGGCCAAATGCAAGTGCTGCACGTGAACATGGCGTAAAACTGATACCACACGGAATATTACTACGACGTTGACGTGCATGAATATCATTACCATTAACGATAATCTTCTCATTGTTCAATAATATATGTAATAAAATAAATAACAGAATCATTTTAGTTTAATTAAATTATATCCCTGAAAGAAAAGCAAAAGAATTATGAATAACAAATATATTAAAATTAGAAAATATTTTCATAAAAATCTTTTTTCTTTATCATCATCAATATTTATCGTTTCGTGTTTCAGTGATAGTATTTTATGTATGAGGAAGGATGGATAACCTTGATGATATATTGGTATTGCATAGCTTTCTAATTGACTTTCTTTGAATTTCAAAAAAAAGAGTGTTTGTGAAAAATGCAAAGTCTGATGGAAAAAAAAAAGCTTATTGTAGCAGCAATTA